GGTGGGTGTATGTCAGGGCTTAGTGTGAGTGTTAAAAGCCGACGTCGCTGGGTTTAGGTTTGGGCTTAGTGTGAGTGTTAAAGGCCGACGTCGCTGGGTTTAGGTTTGGGCTTAGTGTGAGTGTTAAAGGCCGACGTCGCTGGGTTTAGGTTTGGGCTTAGTGTGAGTGTTAAAGGCCGACGTCGCTGGATGTAGGTCAGGGCTTAGTGTTAGTGTTAAAGGCCGACGTCGCTGGGTTTAGGTTAGGGTTTAGTGTTAGTGTTAAAGGCCAACGTTACTGGGGGGGCTGCACAAAGCTGCCAGGTTGCTAAAACGGGGGCCTAGGTGAAGAAGCTCATCTGGGTCGAATTTGACCTCAGAGATGGAGATGGCGTCCAGCTGCATGTCGCCCCTGCATTCGGTCCCCTCATCATCATACACATGGGGCTCATACTTAATGATGTCGTCTTCCTGGTCATGGATGGAGTTTGTTTTCTATGGGGGTGAACAGGGAAGAAGTAATAATTACATTCTAATATGTGACATTCTATTCACTTGCCTAACATGCATGAAGCATAAATCCATTTGACAAATAAATATACTAAATACAAAATATACCTGGTTTAGTATTGAGAGCAGTACTTCATATTTTGCTGGAATATTTTGTTCTCTGAATGAAGAATTTTCCCCTCTGAATAATGTTCTCTATAAATAAGACATCACATAGTATTCATTTGAAAGCTAAATGAATCCCCTTAAGGCAACACTGAAAAATAACCATTGACCTTGATTTAGTGTATACAGACTAAAAAACTGAGTAAATGTACGTTTAACAAAACTGATGTATAAGTTTATAGAACAAAGACAGGTACCTGAAAGTGTCCCTTCATGTTCTGAGATCGCATGCTGCCTCTCTGCAAAGCAAAGAGAACATGGTGCAGCTTAATTAAAAACTGAGTGCAAAAGGCACTGTTTAAAAGGTGCCAAACATTAATGATCATTCGTACCTGAAAGGCATCAGCTGCACCATATTGCTGAGAAACCTGACACTTCTTGTATGTGGAAAAATCCTGAAATCTCAACTGGCTATTTGCCTAAAAGAAAATAAAAATGTAATCCATTCTTATTCAAAAGACTTTCCAAAGGTTTAGTTTATGTCCTTATGCAGTGGTGTCAGAAGGATTTTGACAGCTGCGGGGAGGGGGGGGGGGTGTTGTATATAATGACATTGCATTTGCAATCGACACATATGCAATAGTCACATCCCGTAAGGATGCAATGTAAGAAAGATATTAATCTTTTTTAATTTTCAAGTTAGTCCAGTCCAGTTTCTAAGCCTAACAAAAAAAAATTATATGCCTGATCCACATGCCATATGCCTGATCAGTGTGATACAAAACACTGGATTTTATACACCTGTAACAATGGGTCTGAATGAAACACCTGAATTCAGTGTTACAATTGTTTTGTCCATATGTGTCAGTTTGGACAAAAGTATTGTGACACCTGGCCATTACACTTACAAAAACTTTTATGCCATCCCATTCTAAATCCATAGGCATCAAAGTTGGTCCCCCCTTTGCAGCCATAACAGCTGGCACTCTACTGGGAAGGCTTTCCACAAGTTTATGGAGTGTGACTGTGGGAATTGTTGCCCATTCATCCAGAAGTGCATTTATGAGGTCAGGCACTGATGTGGGATGTGAAGGCCTGGCTTGCAATCTCTGATGTAGTTCATCCTAAAGGTGTTCAATGGGGTTGAGTTCAGGGCTCTGTGTGGGCCAGCCAAGTTCTTCCACACCAAACTCACCCAACCATGTCTTTATGGACCTTGCTTTGTGCACTGGGGTACAGTCATGCTGGAACAGAATTGGGCCTTCCCTAAACTGTTCCCACAAAGTTGGCAGCACAGAATCGTCCACAATGTCTTGGTATGCTGAAGCATTAAGAGTTTCCTGGAACTAAAGAGCCTAGCGCAACTCCTGAAAAACAACCCCATACCATTATCCATCCTCCACCAAACTTTACAGCTGGCACAATGCAGCCAGGCAGGTAACGTTCTCCTGGCACCTGCCAAACCCAGACTCATCCATCAGACTGCCAGACAGAGAAGCGTGATTTGTCACTCCACAGAATGCGTTTTCACTGCTCCAGAGTCCAGTGGCAGCGTGCTTTACACCATTCCATCCAATGCCTGGCATTGTGCTTGGTGATATGAGGCTGGCATGCAGCTACTCGCTCATGGAAGCCCATTCCATGAAGCTCCTGGCACAGTTTTTGTGCTGGGGTTAATGCCAGAGGAAGCTTGGAAGTCTGCAGTTATTGAGTCAACAGAGCACTGGCAACTTTTACGCACTATATGCACCTCAGCACTCGGTGACCCTGCTATATTACTTTACATGGTTTGTCACATTGTGGCCGAGTGTCCTTTGTTCCTAAACGCTGCCACTTTGCAATAATACCACTTACAATTCACAATGGAATATTTAGCAGGGAAGACATTTCACACACATATTGCAAAGGTGGAATCCTATGACAGTACCACACTTGAATTCAATGAGCTCTTCAGAACAACCCATTCTTTCACAAATGTTTGTAAACCTGACCACATGGCATGGTGCTGGATTTTATACACCTGTAACAATGGGTCTGAATGAAACACCTGAATTCAGTGTTACAATTGTTTTGTCCATATATGCTTCGTCCATATATGCTTCGTCCTTGCACTCTGCATGCGCAGTGAATTGGCCTCAGTAACACATGGATTTATAATGAAAGATAAGGAACACACTCTTAATTCGTCATATCTGTTTCATCTGTATCCTGACAGAAACATATTAAATATCAAAACATGATTGCAAAACCAAAAAAAATCACAATTAAATTTTTTTCCAATATCGTTGAGCCTGTTTATATTAATTTTCTGGGAAGAAGGGGTGATCCACCAATACTGGGGAGATGCATCCCTCAGTCCCCCTGATTTCTGACGCCCCTGTCCTCATGTAAAATGTGTAAATTTTAAACACATTCAAATGTTTCCACAGAGAGGATTTAATGTCATTGGGAATAATACCATTTACTCTGACTAGTTCAGTATGGTATTACTGTACATAATATGTTGGAAATTATGCTGAGCTGGTGATATTAAATATTTAATAGTAATTCTCAATTGTGATATGCAAGAAGACTCACTTACTTCCTGTTGGAATGTACTATTTTTGACATTTGACTGGGTAGACATCGCTTCATGACACCTTCCATTTTGGATCACTTGAGCATCTGGAACCTTGACATATAAAGTAAAACTGCAGCTTAAATGTAAATTCTTAATGCTGTTTTGTGTGACATATACAAAATTTTTTATAGGAACTTTTTAAATTTTAAACAATCTAATTACAATAATACTTGCACTGATTTGATTTTACAATTACCTTACAGTCAGTTCCAGGTGTTTCAATATTTGATTTAAGCAATGTTGCTCCAGAACCGGGATCAACAAGAAACATTGTTCTATGTCTCCCACAGGATACAAATATTACCAATAGCAGGACACCTGTAAGCACAAAGTGTTAACATAACCTTAAAAACATACTTCAGTCTAACTGTGGCAGGCTTTGATTGTCTAGACCAAGGGTGTCCTGGGGGCCGGAGCCCTGCACATTTTTGGGTTTCCCCTCATTTAACACACCTGATTCATCTCGTTGTGCTAATGGAAGAGGGAAACCACTAAGCTACACAGGTCTCCAGACCCCTAGGATTGGAATTTGACACTCCTGGTCTAGACCTCTCCTTTGACCAGAATACTTATATCTGCTAGTACAGTGTTTATAGCTTTAACCACGGAGGGCTATCCTTATGTTTCTGCTCTTTTTTGAGGATGCCCCTCCATAGCTTGGGTTAGCCCCCCCCTTGATAGCGCCTCTTTGGTCGATCTGTGCCTAGAAGACTTCTGATACTTTACCCAAACTGCCTGAAGATGGCAGTACAAGCTTCTAAACTAATATTCACTCACTCTTATCAATGATTTCTAAATGATTTTTCCAAACTATGGAAAGTAACATACCTAGAAACAGGAATAGGGAAGCAATCACAATCCCAACTGTCCCACCCCCAGGAATGACAGAGGTGACTCTGCGGGCATGGCAGTTGGGAATCGTGGAGCAGTCACACACCGTCATGGTGAGGTTCTGCTGCAGAAACTTGCCCTGTGCGTCTGAGATCTTGAGTAGCAGTTTGTGAGATCCGGCATAGACTGCTTCCTCCTTTATCAGGTTAACAGTCCTCCCTTTCAAAGTACAATACATCACATGTTAAGACAATAACACTGTTGTCTTTTATGTTATTGTATTTAAAATAAATTTGTTTTGTTTCATCAGTAGCTTTGTTTTAAAAATAAAACATTTACACTTAAGAATATTTCAGAAATTTCAGGAATCCTCACCAACTGATAAAAATGTTATAAAGCCTTTGATTATCAGTTTAAATTAACAGAGCTGATAAAATACTGGAATCACAGAGAATTGGGAAAATATATCATTGGGATGTTGATTCTGGGTTATCGTTTTCTCAATGAGGAAAACCATTAATAACAATTTCTGACCTGAAAGTAAATAGCTAAATTCTGTATGGTTATCACCATGAAGTGGTATGGAAAATAGCAGTAGTATATTACTATTGGTACGTAGATAATAAACTGGTACTTCATAAGTTAAAAATACCAAGACTGAATTTCTGTGCCGTAGTACAAACAGCTGTTTTGTATTACTGTCCTATTTTTATATACTGTCCTTGTATAGGTTTGGGTGTTAATCTGTATCTATATTATTTGTATGTCACATTTATGATAACCTATTATATTCTGATCTAGATTGCCTTTTTAGGAAATGGCCAGAGACAACAGATGAAAATTAGCCTATACTAACTTGTTTTGTTGATTAATAAGCACTGTTTGACATAAATAAATGGAATGGAATGAAAAAAGAAAAGAACAAAATAAACAGATCATTGAAACTTTTTGCGCTTTTCCATTGGCGTACAGGAACTGAGCCGTACCTGAGATGTACCACAAGGAAAGACCTGTTATTGCACAGTTCCAGCTTGTTTCGGTTTTCCACCGCAGAAGGGTCGGTTTGGCAAAAGTGTGGCCAGGTTGGGAAGTGACAGTGACGGAAAACCGTTCACACAGTGTACATCATGATTTACTATGTGCTAGAATTTCCCCATGGAGATCAATAAAGTATCAATTATTATTATTATTATTATTATGAATTAGCTAGCATTAATTATTAAAAAAATTTGTGAGAATCACTGTGTTATACTATCATCAAATGCTAGCAGAATTTGCATTAGTTTGCATACATTTTCATTACAAACCCATTCCGTTCAGCCTTTCTATAATACTTTTTTAAGTAGGTTCACAAGTTCCTAGTTATCTGGAATGCATAAATACATTGCGATGTGTGATACTAATAATTAATAATATATGGAATATGTCCCTTTTCCTGTCACATAATCCATTACCCATTACTGGTTCTTTCTTGTCCCCATTTATTTCGACTAATCAGTTGGCGGTGATGCACCCAGCTCGGTTTAAACTTGCTCATATTTCACTTTAGTAAACAGCGTCATGTCATCAAGGGTCCAGGTCAGATATGACTTGTATACTTCACAATGGAAAACAATCAGCTCATAGTAAGGGTCGGATACAGCTTGGTTCCTGGTGGCAGTGGAAAAGCTCCATTAGAGTACAAAAAAGCTCATGTAACCTTCTTTTTGAAAGTCCCTCAAAAAGCGTGCATGCAGGGGTACTACAAATAGTGCTGCAAATAGTGCTGCAACAGTTGGTAAGTCAGCAGAGTAAGAGGGGTCTGTTGTTTCCGGAGTCGGTGCCCCCACAGAATATGGGTTTAAAAGGCTCCCTAGTGGGTTTACTGGCCCTGCCCACAGTTGAGCATATGAAGGGAGACACAGGGAATTACCGAAACTGGGGTCAAGCCTCCATCGGCCCTTGATGTCTCCAAGGAGTTCAAAGTGGAAGGGGCCAGAATATGGGTCTCCATCCAGGTCATAGGCTGTGATGTTGACCACACTGGCAGAAAGACACATGGTCAGCATGTGGCTTTCCAGCTTTGGAACATTGTCATTTTGGTCTGTGAGGTGGATGTTGAGTGTGGCTGTTCCAGTCATTGGAGGTACCCCTGTGGTTGAAAGAAAAGTAACTGTTTTGGTAATGGATAAGTGTAAATATGAAAAAAAAAACAGATGAAGAGTAGCTGAAGTGTAGCTGGAACTTGTAGCTGGAACTTGAATGAAGAAAGGAACCAGAATTATTATTTCACCCAATTGTGTTTATCTCTTAGAATCTGTTAATATGTTAGTATCTGTTAGTATGGTACAATTGGTTACTGGCAGTGGTAGAGGAAGTGCTCACACAATTTCCTTAAATAAAAGTAGAAATAAAAAGGCAAAGATGTACTGTAGTAAAAGGTGAAGTGCCCCATTGACTTTTCTAGTTCAGTAAAAGTAAGTTCTTGCCTGTAAATATACTTAAAGTATTAAAGTAAAAGTACTTGAAGTTGTAGTCCCTGATAGAACTGTATAATATGGTATTAAGCAGAGGTGGATAGTTCAGATGCAGAAAGTAAAAATCTGTGACTATGATTCTATATACTCAACTGGTTGGTGGAAACAAAATATTGGTCTGGATTTTTACTTTCTGGACCTGAACTAGTTTGGCTGCTGACAATCGCTGTACCATTCTGGTTTGGTGAAGAAGGCAAAGCTCTCAATTTACTGGTCGATCTATGTTCCCACCCTCATCTATGGTCATGAGTTCTGGGTAGTGACCAAAAGAATGAGATCACGGATACAAGCGGCCAAAATGAGTTTCCTCCACGGGGCGGCTGGACTCAGCCTTAGAGAGAGGGTGAGGGGCTCGAACATTCGGGAGGGACAAAGTAGAACTGCTGCTCCTCCTCATCAAAAGGAACCAATTGAGGTGGTTCAGGCATCTGTCTAGGATGCCTCCTGGACGGCTCCAAGGGGAGGTGTTTCAGGCGTGTCCAACAGGGAGGAGGCCCTTGGGCAGACTCAGAACACGCTGGAGACATTATATCTGTTGGCTGGCCTGGGAACACCTTGGTGTTCCTCCGGTGGAGCTGGAGGAGGTGGCTGGTGAGAGGGAGGTCTGGAGATCCTCATGGATGGACCTGCACTATTCACCTCTAGCATTAAGAGTATTGTTAAATACAAAAGTTGAGGGATGAGAGATTTGTATTTTCCAATCTAAACATTTAAAATATGAAATGCTAGTTTATAATAAGAGATTCAGAAATAACTTATTCCATTGTATTACCTGAAATTAAGTTTACATAATCCAACTACAATGATTGGTGCTAATAAGCTCATCTCAACTGAGCATTTGCTCTCAGCCACACAGATCCACAATAGTTCTAGCACTGATATATGTGTGACAATATATATCATGTGACAATAGAAAAACACCTATTGTTTCATATTATAGCTAATTAGCTATCGTTTATTTTGTTGTGTTACAAATAACACTCTTATACATGGCATGGATGCAAGCAGGGAATTTGTCTGAAGGCCCTGATTGTAGCTGCCCAAACTGTAGCCATATGCGTAGCATGTCACAGCGTTTCCTGCTCTTTACTGTGCATGCTCCAATAGTTCACGGTTTTCTATTTATCTCTTTATATTTTATACTTTAATATCTTAGATTTTGTTACATGATTAATTGGATATTAATAATTGTGAAAGGTTATAAATAAAAGGGAAAAAATAAATACGATTAAGTACCTTTTATTTGTCAAGTAAATAGTTCTATGTGGTCATTTTATATAAACCATTTATTCATTGAATTTACAGAAAATGTCTTATATCGTGGTATGTATTGTTATCAGGAGAATTGGGTCATATCGCAAAGCCCTATATTTGTGTGTTATTAAATAAAACTTACCAGCTAATGGCCACAGGATGCAAATTTCATCAGTTCTGTCATGACATTAACAACATATGCTATTCATAATTCACAAAAGTTTGCCTGATCCCAAACATCCAAGGATCACGTCTTGCCATTTCCAGAGCCACTTTCCATAATGTATAGCAATCAATCTTTCCAACCAAGTGATTCGCCCAGGCTTGTCGACACATGACAGATGATGCATAAGAAATGATTCTGCTTAAGGTTGAATTAGCAATAGCCCTTGGGTACTTATCCAGCTCATAGCAGATGCCCTCTGAAGCAGATCTGAGATTATGGTGAGTATAGTTTTCTTGTAATTATCCTTCCAGATATCAGTCATCGTCACCAAACTGATATTTTAATAATCACATCTCCTGATTTTCTTGTTGCTTGGTTCGTGTTTTGGATTTTGACGTTTTCCCTGCACTTCCAGTATTGACCTCTGCTTGTCTCTTAGGATTTGGATTACAGTTTGGATTAGTTCACTGACATTCAACCATGTGCCTGTATTTGGGATCTGGAATTAAACGTATTGCTTCCGCAGTTGGATTCTCTCACTCGAGTCATTACAGAATACCAACTTAAATAAAGCAATCTTGAATCTTATAGCCAACGCAGGGATCTAGTAGAAGTGAGGGCCCTACGAAACTGTCAGGAAAAGAAACTGCTTCTCCACACTACCTTGCAAAGCCAGAACACTCCCTGAGGTCAAATGCCTCCAGTAAATGCCAACAAACCGTCCGGGCCTGGTCCTATGGTCAAAACTACCTGTGCGCGTTTGTCTCTGTTATCTGGATGTCTAAGGCAAATTTAAGTAACTGGCACTGATTTACTGAGCATGTTGTTTGCAGTAGACACAATCTTTAACCATGCTTGGTGATATACTGGTATACCACCCACACTAGCCCTGTGCTGCTTGGGTTTGGGATTGGAAGTCAGACCGATAGATGGTCTTTGACCAAATAATCCACTAACAAGAAAATATTTTATTCATGATCGCAGTTTGCCCATCAGACGAAGTAAGCCACATATTTATCGAGCAATATTTGTTATTTTAAAACTGCATAAGTTAAACTATGTGCAATTTATACTGACTGTATAAGTGCACAGCTTACGGTACGTAACAGGCAGCATATATAATTCCTCAGAGAGAATCAAAGTACAGTTTTAAAGCACTTACCTGTACTGACTGCATACAGGGTTATAGTGTATGTGTTGTTCTTCACATAGTCTGACTCTCTGTCAATTACTTTAGCTGTGGTGATTTTTCCATCTTGAGGACCCACATTCACCCAGCCTGCAGGATCAGAGCCTTTCAAATACCTGTTATCAGATATATTGTAAGGATGCCACTCAGAATGTAGATCTTCTACATATTGTAATACTGTAATACTGTTAATAGCCATTAAGATAATATCATATTGATAATGTTTTTTTCTAAAAAGATTAAAATCAGATATCCCATGTTTAAATGAGTCTAAAATATTTGATGAACATGAAGATTTGTAAGTACAGCTGACCACAGTTATGTTTTAGTTTACTGTGGACAATATTAAATAAAACTACGATAATGACAAAATGAATGTTCACCAAATTAGATTGTGTAGAATATGTTTTAAAATCATACAATATAACTATATAACAACTGAGATCATACAAATTGTCTATATTTTTAAAGTTACATTGGAAGCTTTGCATAGGACTACAATGGGAAATATTCGGGTCACAATTTCACAGAATGACTCTCTTTTATCTCTGCTATAAAAATTCAAAAGACCTGCAATATACCAACAGAAAATACTGCTACCAGTCTTACACAAAATCATCATTGAAAGTCTTGTCCTTATCCACAGCAATAAATGTTTCCAGCAGATGCCCAATCTCTGTGTTCTCCTCCACTGTGACATCTCCAAGGGGACAGACGAACTCTGGGGGGTCGTTGACATCCTCCACACTAACAGAGATCTTTTCCATGGGGGATCGGACTACACCCCCCTGCCCTGAGCTGCTGTCAAAGTAATCCACCTTCCAGGGCCCTCGAGGGGGCTGCTCCTTCACCACACATGAGAAGTATGGTGTCTCATTCTCCACACTGATGGACAGGTTCCTCACGGATCCTTCTTCAAAGTCGAGGGCCTTAGGTCACAGAGAACAGGAAATCGTTACTGAAATGTCCAACACTAGACCAGTGTTTCCCAATCCGATATATGAAACCTTTTCAAGCTCGTGGGCAAAGGTCAAAAAGTCACACTCTTGTGCATACGACCACCATGCTAAACTATGTTTAGTAGTTTAATTGTAACAACATGGCTGAGATGAAGGTAAAGAGTGGTTGCTCACATGTGATACCGAAAACATTAGCTGTTACAATGAACCTTTTGATATGGTTCATAAACCTTCACTTTATCTGTAATTTACCAGAACAACAGAGAGGATTCCCTCGTTCGTTTCCGAGTCTGTTTCAATTTGGAAGTTCTTTCCAGTGTCTCCATGTATTGTATACTTCGCCTTCCATGCTGACGTGCCCCTACTATCTTTGTCATCTACTTGCACACGGAGAAATGTTTGTCCTGTTTCCCTTTCCTTCACTCTTCCTGTTCCCTGCAACAGAACATCAAATCAGAATGGACTCCTTGGCAGCAAGTAGCTAAATCATTCCTAGAATAATGAGGCAAAGATGTCCCAAGCCAGCATGATAGAACTTAACTACGTTACTAAACACATCTGTAACATCTGTAGTATCGGTTACTGTCAAGAACACATACTGTCATAGCTACAAAGAAGTGAATAAATGGACCTTACTGTATGACCGGTAAAAATGGGAAAGTGGTTGTTCATGTCTTCAACATTAATGATGACTTTGCATGTGCTTGAAAGAGGAGGAACTCCACGGTCTTTGGCTTCAACTATGATTGTGTATGTCTGTGCTTTCTGAAAGGAAACAAAATATTCACTCGATTACATCCCAGTGGAAATATCAGCCTTTTGAATTGTGGTAATTAAGCCATGAAGGCATGCAGTAACTTTGACTCAGAATTATACTAAATGTTTATGTATGGTGATTGTAATGCAAAAGACTTCATTCCCCTTTAAACTCTGTTATCTGAATCTAAGACACGGTATCTGTTTAAAATAATAATGATAATAATAATAATAATGTGTGTGTGTATTTATTGCCTAGATTCTGTGTACTAACCTCATAATCCAAGCATCCCTTGAATAATATTGTGCCATTTTCTATCATGTAGAACTCTGCATTTTGAGTAATGGGAGTCGTAGAAATTATTCTGTAGTCGATGGTCGAATTCGGGCTGCCTCGTTTGTCCAAGTCTCTTGCCAAAACAGTCATTACAAATGCACCTAGATTGTAAAGTACAATATAATAATGAGGCATGCATCGACATGTACCTGGAGTATTTCATACAGATTTTTAGTTATTATTAAATTGTATTTAACCTTGACGTTGTGATTCTTTAATTGTAATTGGATACTCGTCGTGCTCAAATCGGGGACGGTTGTCGTTTATGTCCGAAATGTGTATCTCTACTCCAAGTTGGGTGTCAACTGCCATATTGGACACATTTCTTGCTTTAAACTGCAGCTGTAACAACGGTTATTAAATCAAATGTAAAACTCATTCAAAATATACTTAGGTTATCAACAAATTTTTCATTTTAATACAAACAAACATATACAAGTATTATAGGAAAAGTAACCCATTTTGCATTTCTTTCAAATAATGGTTATAATTATTTTTTTTCTTACCATGAGGAGCTGAACCTGTTCATAATCAATTTTGTGATGGACTGTAATGACTCCAGTGTTCTGATCAATGCTGAGGAGTCCCTTTGGGTCCTTGTCCACACCATGGCCAGTTAGTTCGAAATTTACCTTGTACCTTCGGTCAACACTAACCTGAAAAGAATGAGAAAACACAAGGTTTGGCTTTGAAAAATAAAAAGAAACTTTGCAAAAGTTTAATTCCATGACTAATTAAAGCATGTGTTATTAAAACAGGGACATACTAAGTAGTTCATATTTGCCGTAATAACCTGCATGAACAGTTTAAGGATAAGTATTAAAAATGCTACAATGTTACTGGCTGATGGTTTGAATTCAGGCAGTGTTCAATTATGATCATAGAAGAAGTCAGGGAGAGAATGGAAGTTTCATTTGGCAACACTGAGGTGATAAGAAAATGACTGAATTAACATTTCTTGGGAAGATGGTCTATTGAATTCGTAATTACCAATGTGGGAATTAATGAATTCCTCATACATCATACAACAGCACATTGGCGACACAATGACAAATTCTATCAAAAACATGAAGCCAATGGCCACTGCCCTCAATATGTTTCTGACAGGCTGGTTTAAATTGTTTTATAGAGAGATCAAATTTGCCGAACAGGGAGCAGAAGATTGATACTTCCATTTTCCCAAGATTTTTGCCTGATGGTAGTACTACCACAGCTAAACAGCACGGACCCACATTTCATGGTGGCCTAACATTAGACTTTCACTGACTGCCTACTGGGGAACCCTGCTGTACTGGGTAAGTGGTTGTATGATGAATGGATGATATATATTTTATGTCTGTGTAAAAGAAATGTTTAAGTGCAATTTAATACAGGTGAAATAACCTGGGTAATTAATACATAAAAATGCACCAAACACAGTGAATTCCATTGATCAGCAGAAAAAAACTAAAAATATATAAATTAATGTGAGTATAGTAAAGTTGAGCTCATACTCACAGTGCCAAGGACATACGGAAAAGGACCAGGATGTTCCTCTACCATACTGAAGGAGTCGATGATCCAGCCTCTCTTGTGTCGTCTTGGGACACTTGAGGCAGCATTTGATATCCCAGAAAGCTAACGAAAACACTGTGTTATTTGAGTTGTTCCTTATTTAAAAATAGTGTATATTGATTTTGGTATTTACCTGCTTAAATATACACACAAATGTATACACATACTCCACATAATTTAATGGTCGTATGCATGTCAGTTGAAGCACCTACATTTCGTGAGGATGCTAAGAAAGGTAGCTGCTAAAATTGTTCTGTGGTTAGAAAATGTCTAAAGTATACAGAACCCAACCACTTAGCTGATTTTAATTATATTCATTAACTGTTTTAAACGTGTTCCCCGACCTCTTGATCCGGTTAAGACAAAAATGTACAGTGGCATGGGACTGTTTAAATTTTGAGAGCGATCACCCAAAACTGAAGCCACACCATTTAGTGGCAGCAAAGGGACGGAGGAAAGCAGAAGACATTTGATCTTGTGAATCTGATAAATCAAAAAGTATTTGATGCATCTTATAGATGCAGCTGTAGAAGACAATTGTAGAAGACAGTAACTATGAAAGTATTGTACGGATCTTTTCAAACTTTGCAGACGCATTGTAGGGGTGACAAACTGCACATGGTATTTGTTATGTTCAAATGACCTACTGTGTTCTGTAGGTACTATATTATGCGTAGTAACATGGCACTATGTTTTCCTATCAAGCTGCGGATTGATACCGTTCTCAATGATGTATGGAGTGTACCAGTTCAAGTGATGCTACAGTAAAAGAAAGAGTTTTGTGAACCGCCTATCCATATGATTATTACGTTGTTGTTAAGAGTAGAAAAACACAACAAATTGGCGACGAGGATTCGCTGAATCCATGTGTGCAGTGAATGTTACACGCACCGAGTGAGAAGTTTGTCGACTGTCTCTTTTCGTCTGTTTTTGCCTACCCCGCTGTGAATGCTAGTACACTGGCCGGACCAGCTAGCTGGCTATCGTTAAACAGGACCGGAGGAGGGACACGGAACGCAGAGAAAAGAACAGGGAGCGGCAACGAAAATACTAAAAGACGAAAACGTCTACATATTGTAAGTTAAAAGACAAACGTATTAAAGCAAGATGGCTGGATGTGTAGGGCAAATGGACAGTTTTGATAGCACTGTGGAAGACTGGGCTACGTACATTGAACGACTTGAGCAGTATTGCATTGCTAACAAAATAGAAGACGACAGAAAAGTAGCCGTGCTATTGAGCGTCATGGGTCCAAAAACATATAGATTGTTACGGAACTTGTTGGCGCCGGATAAACCAGCTTCGAAGGGTTTCACGGACATTGTAAAAGTGTTACAGGAGCACTTGAACCCGAAACCGCTGGTCATAGCAGAAAGGTTTAGATTTCACAATCGAAATCAAAACGAAACAGAGTCAATCAAAAGGATGGAGACGACTGAGAAAGGAGGGCAGCCTACCCCAGAGAGACTGAAAAACTTACTAGATCGTTTCTCACCAGTTTTTCAAGATGGAGTTGGAACACTTGCACAAATTAAGGCCAAAATTGCCATAGAGGAAAATGCACAGCCAAAATTCCACAAAGCACGCACTCTACCCTATGCCTTACGGCCAAAGGTTGAAGCAGAGCTCAAGC